CATTTCCTAAATATAGATATAAGTATATCCCATGTAAGGGAGTTCCTTACGTAACTATTGGAATACAATGGCAAATATAAAGCAATGGGGCATTTTCTTTTTGTTGGCCTTGTAAGCTTTCTTAGCTTCTTCCACTTTCCTCTCCTCCCATCACCAGTGTGTGTATCTTTTGAATAGGAAGATGTGTTCAGAAGTGAACAGAACACTATTACACACATATTTGCACAGGTGGGTACATGCTGCATTTTCAAATATGTATTTATTGCTGTATAATTTTGGGTATCGATATTGACTGATGAGCTTTATATTGCTCCCTGAACTGGCTGAGCTAAGGAGCTTGTAGGGGGCTCAATTAGGTGTGCATTTATACTTTACCATTTGACACCACTTTAACTGCCATGCCTCAATGCTATGAAATCATGGGCATTATTGTTCATAAGATCTTTAGCCAAAAGTCCTGGTTCCTCACCAAACTACAAATCATAGAGTTACATAGCATTAAGCCATGGCAATCATATGATGAGATCTGACGGGCTCTGTGCTGGCTGCATTGACAAAGTTTTCTGTGATGGAGAAATTTGGCAATGTGATGAGGTTGTAGGTGACCCAGGGTACCATCCAACTCCACAAATCTATTACTCAATTAAATTCTTCTACTAGATGCTGCAAGAGCTTTAGATTGCAGTTACAAGTGGTCTTAGGAGAATTAAACATATGCAACCATTTCCCTCCCACAAGCACACAATGGCTTCAGCTTCATTCAATTGTACTGCTTCTTTTGCTACTGTTATAAACTATCGTATGATGAAGATTTCTGGAAAGGTCTCTGATTTTATTCCTAGAAACTCTAAGCATTGGCCCAATAAACTGGAACCTCGACATAAGAGCATCCTGACTGAAGAGTGTTTTGAGTTTAGAGATGTCACTCAGCCCGGTTTTGCTTTGACATAAGAGCAGCATTTTGACTTAAGAGAAAGGACCCGAGGAAGCATTAGCACAAGAGTACAGATCTTTAGGGCTTCAAGGCAGCAGCCTCAATGCCTCGTGCCTCATGCTCTTGTCTGCTTTGTGAGATTGCTGTCCACGTTGCTCTTATCCACTTTGAGGAACACTGGGTTAGCTGATTTTGTGTGGTTTTTATTCCTGCCATGTTTGGCTTCATGAAGAAAGAGAGGGAGTCAGAGCAAAAGAGGGAGGGAGGGAGGCTGGAATGAGTACAGTATGAAGCAGGCCCGTAGCCAGGATTTCGTTTCGGGGGGGGGGCTGATTTTTTTTCAGGGGGAGTTCAGGGGGGGCTGAGTTTTGGGGGGGGGCTGAGTCTGAGTGAAAGAGGGTCTAGCCTAGCAAACCTTTTGTATCATTACCCCAATACCCTCGTGCATATGGGATATATTGAGTATGGTGATCAGATCATGATATGAATAAACATAACAGTTTAAATAATGCACCAGTAAGGCCTTTTCGTGAACCACCATCAGAATTTCGGGGGGGGGGGGCTGAAGCCCCCGAGCCCCCCCCCCCCGGCTATATGCCTGGTATGAAGAAAATGATGCTTATGCCCTTTCACTTTGTGCTCTGTGCTTCCTTGCCACAACTTTCTGCTTCTACCATTGTGACACAACTTCACAACTTTGTGCTTCTACTATTTTAAAATTGATTTTTCTTTTTTCTTTTTCGGTATGAATGTGCAATTATACATTATTTGTTATTTTAAAGTACATTTTCTTATTTAAAACCACGTAACCAAAAAATGGGGGGGGGGGTGTTCAGGGGCTGGAATTGATTAATACCATTGCATTTCAATGGGGAAAATTGCATTGAGACCAGAGCATTTTGAGTTAAGAGCTCAGTCACAGAATGACTTAAACTCTTGAGTCAAGGTATCACTGTATATGGAATATCTCAATAAAACACTTTTGGCCTATAGGTGGCATTAGGATGCAAAGTATTGCTTCTGTACTTATAGCATAAATGCTTTACAATAGGTTGAAGCTTTTTTGTCATCAGCATTCTACTGTGAGCTCCTTTGCCATGAATGAGGTCAATGCTGGGCACGTCAGATTCAGAATGATAATAATCAGATATCAAGCATGCTCCCAGACAGAGGGCTCCTAGCACTCATACATCAAAGGTGTTGGTTATTCTGTATTCTTCCAGGCTATAATTATTCTGTCCTTTTTCTATTAATAGTTTTTTTTCTGGGAGGTAAAATGAAAGAAATCCAGGATGAGGATCCCTTATCTGAAATTCTGAAATCTAAAATATTCCAAAATCTGAGGCCTTTGCTTTCTGATATTACAATGTACAAAAACTTTGTTTTCAGTACAAAATTATTTAAAATAGTGTATAAAATTATCTTTAGGATATGAGCATAAGGCGCATATGAAAATATGTGAATTTTGGGTTTAGATTTGAGCCTCATCTTTAAAATTTCACATTAATAAATATATGCAAAAACAGTGATCCCCCAAAATCCAAATCACTTCTGGTCTCAAGCATTTAGAATAAGGGATAGTCTACTTGTAATAACAAGGGACATCTGCAATGTGAAGTAAACGTCATGTGGACCTCCCATCAACTTCGGTAAGTGAGGCAATGCAATACTATACAACTAGCTATAAATAAAAGCCTTGTCTGGAAGCACCTTATGTACAAAAATCTATTGGTAAGACATGATTATGTAATCTGAGGTTTTATGAGTATATGTGCTTTTAGATTCATTGTGGAAAATGGTATTCAATACTTCCTTGTTCAACATCTCTTCCACCTCAAGCTAGGCAGCCTAATGGCACCAGCGTGCACTGAAAAAAGTCATTTAATGACTGGAGCAAAGTGGACACCAGCCATTTGTAATTGCATGGAAAGAGGATGGCCCCACCTACACTGCTATATAACCGAGTTTCTGGATTCAGAAATTTGATTACATGGCAGTATAGATCCAGCCGAAGACTCGGCAGTATCTAGCTGCAGTTCTCCAGCTGGGAGGAAAAAAAAGCAAATATTGCCTTCCGAAAATTTCATGTGTGTGTGTCTTTTCAAGTCATATGTTGATGTATGGCGATCACATGAATAAACCTTTTTTTAGTCTAGGAATACTAAGAAGTGATTTTTCCAGTTAATTCCTTTGCAATATAGCCTACACAGGTATTCATTGATAGTCTCTCATCCAAGTACTAACAAGGGCTGGTTCTGCTTAGCTTCCAAGAACAGATGAAATCTGATGCCTTTAGGGTAGTCAGACTTTACTCCATGCCCTCCAATATTTCCCAGATGAAAAATGGGGCATGTGGTCAAGATTGCAAAAGTTATTAATGAAGAACAGATAAGCCAGGAAAGCATGCAGCAGTTTGCCTTTGTTTGATTCTACAGGAAGGGCAAGATTCTCTCTTTCCTCCTCCCCAAGAGCTAAAGTTGTGTGCAAACTACTTTTGCATTTTGAACCCATTTCACAGCAACTGAAGTAAACTGAGGGCAGATCTACACGGACTTATCCTGGGGCCAATCCAGAGTGATAAATGCTGGATCAGCCCTGGGATGGTTTAGTCCACCACCCCTCCCACCACTGTTCTGGAGGCAGGACTGACTAGCAGTGCCAAACTCAATTTAATGCTGCCAGACAACCAACCTTACCATTCCATGACTCATGCAACATAACTCATGTTGGTCACTCCTCACTTGGAGTGATGTCATTTGGGGTGCCAGGGTGACATGGGAGAGGTGAGGGGAAGAGGGGTAATTGCCTCCACCTTTCTGCCCTCCCTTCTCCAATTGTCTTGTTTCTGTGGCCAGAGTTACTCCAGGCAATGAGTGATCATCATGAGCTATATCTGTTCACTGGCTGTTGCAACAACAGCAGTCCTTTTGGGGAGATGTTGGCAGGATACAAAAATAAAGCATTATTATTATTATTATTATTATTATTATTATTATTATTATTTTACTGACACAAAAACACAGTATGTCACAGCAAATGAGCTATGTATGTTGGATTTCGTACCACAAAATCACAAGTTGAACATGTATTTTCAAATGATGCACGCAGATCCAAGTAAGGTGGCCTTTTGCAGTTGACAGATCGTGATTTTGTCAATGTTTATTGTTTCCAAATGCTGAATGAGGTCTTTTGGCATGGAATCCAGTGTGCTATTATTATTATTATTATTATTATTATTATTATTATTATTATGATTGATGAGTAACTGTGTAATATGGGATGACCATGTCAGAACCAACTCAACTGTTTACATGTACCAAAAATCACAGTTTGCTCCAGATTCATGGTGAGTGTTCAGAGCAAGCTGCGATTTTGGTTAACCTGGTTTGAGGCTGCATTGAGATGACCTTGGCCCATACTAACCTGGCTCAGTTTTATGAGCTGATTCATCCAACCTTTGGAATAACTGGTCAGTGGAGATGTGCTCTGAGACAAAGGGGGAAAGTGGGAGTTGGAGAAAAAAATGGGAGATACTAAAAGCAGCTTAAAAACATGTGACAATTAATCTGAATTGTCCCTGCCAAATTGGAATAGTTGAAGAATTTGGAATTCCAGGCTGTACATTGAAGAGTGTGATTGTTGTTTTGGTGTTGTTCTTTTCATCTGGCTTCAGAACTGCAGCCAAATGTTGCTTAGGTCCTCTACGAAATGGTTGGAAGTGGGAGGATTCTCGGCAACTGTGAGAAGTGGAAGACAAGGCTCACATACATAAATCCACAGAACTCTATGCTCTGCAAACATCATGGAGGATTACAGCCTTAGAGTCCACATTTCAAATAGCATCAATCCATGCAATGCACACAAACCTAAAGCAGTACTACCTCTGTGTGGTGTCATTTGCTTTTCTAAAAGCTTTACATATTTTTTTTCAAAATGGCATGAGTGCTCTATGTATGTGTATGTGTGTGTTTGCGAGAGAAAGAAAGAGATCATCCAAAATAAATATTTCCAGACCAAACAGGGTGAAACCAGACATTATTTTGAAAGCAAAGCAAGTTATACTTACATTTGATGCTTGTGTTCAAACTCCTTGGAGCAGATGAATCAACAGCAGCTGAATTAACAACAACAAAAAATGTTTATCTGTCTTCTCAGTGTTTCACTTTCAAATTACAGGAAAGATCTGGAAAAGGCCTGCTTACAATGGATAGGGGACCGAGACTGCTGAAAGTCTGGATTCAATTAAACCTGTGCTCTTAAGTAACTCAAGACTGTAAATCTTTCAAAATACAAAGTGGATGATAGTAGATGATCTTAAAATCTGAACATTACTAATTTAGATAAATAGAACGAATACTTTTGCTTTTGTTTGTAAGTAGTCTGCGTATTTTGGTTCTCAAAATTTTGTTTGGTTTCTTTAAAAACACACACAGCATAAATTGATATTCTTTTTAATGAGCCATCACATTGGTAAAATAACCTGGATAACTCATCTAGACCAAATACACAACAGAATGGAATCTCTACAATTACAATAAATAAAATTTTATCACAGGAAAATCCATATTCTGCATGCACAATCAATCAATAAATTAGCTCAATTGTACAAGCAAAATCTATCCACTGAGGCATTATGAATATCTTTAGCATTTAGGGATGATACAAGCCTTGCAAAAACCAGAACACCTAAGGAGACAATATTGCTATTTCAGCACCTGTGTCTCAGGGATACATCTAGTGGCTTATTATAAAAAATGAAACATGAAAGTACACTCTGCCTATATTTTTACCATGCAGAGAGTTGCTTTCTGCACAAATGACCACCCCCCTTTCCTGGTTTCCTTTCTAGATTGTGATATATACTAGTGACACATAAATAAGAACATTGGATAGATTTTAATTCTGGCCCCAAATCCAATATTACAGTAAGGCTGATTGCAAATGCATTTCTTCCCCTCCTGTCTCCAAACATTTCTATTATATTCCATTCTTTCTCCAACAATAAAATAATTAATAATAATGGAGATAAACATATAGCATATACACCCTTTAAAGAAAGATTATCCACAACCCATTAAATATCAAAATATCTGGTTAAATAAAAAAAGAATATTATCTCCTGGGAAAAGATATATGTGTGTGTACCCTAATCTCACATAGGAGGAAGTTCCACAACCTGGCGTCAGCAACCAATAAGGCACATTCCTGTGTCCATGAAGATGGTGGGACCAAAAGAAAGTGTTCTACTGAGTATCCCAAGACTCCAAGATGTTCATAAGGATAAATGCTGTCTCTCAGATTATCTGAAGCTAAACCACATTGTCTTTGATCATAACAGCACCCAAACCATGTGCAGAATTGAACTGGCAGCCAGTGAAACTGTTTCAATAAGGGAGTTGAATGAATACTCCCTGTAACTGGTTCCTGTTTTGCTGATGAAAGCTACTAAATCAACAGAAAGCATCTACAGGTTCTAGTCATTGTATTTTGGTGTTATAATATATGGACAGAGCTTAAATGCTGAAAAACAACTTTTACGAAATATTTCTTCCAGCTACCTTGAATGCCTGAAATCTATGTGAGCTGGAGCTATGATTTGCAGCCAGCAGTTAGAAAGGGAACATGCTGAATGTTGCTATAGCAAACAGCTTTGTGATGGGAGTGAAAGAAACTCCAAACTTGATTTGGACAAATGAGATATCTACCAAGCTCCTGGTGTGCCAAGAATTTGCCTCTATAAATTTTGGCTCTGAAGAAAGCAACAGAGTCACACCGAATCTGCTGATGATTGTATCTTGGCTGTGAATAGTGACTTTGTGTTCTGCTTGGCTCTTTTTCATGCCTTCTTTGTAACATGGTGAGATGGAGCTAAGAAGAGGGGAATGCTCTACTTTGGAAAAAAGGCAGTCCCCTGATTCTTTATTAGCATGAAAGACCAAAGTGTATGTTTGCCCTCAAATACGAAAAATGGTATAAACTGACATTTTTGTCAGGAGGGCTATTGCCCCTCCTTTCTTCCCCTTCTTTTTCTCTACCTTTCTTTCCTTCCCCTCCCCATTTTCCCTTCTCCAGCTCTGAGGTCCTACATCACAATGCTACAATGTTTCCAGGGCAACATGGCTCTCTTTGTGGATGTTTTCTTTCTTCCACTCACACATGCATCACGTTTCCTTCCCAGTGACATCACAGTGGGACACTTCACCTAGCAATAGCTAATCCTTTGCCTAGCAACAACAAATCCAGTGATATCACATAGGGCTACTTTACCTAGATGAAATGTGTGTATATATAATATATATGGATTTGTGATCCAATAGGAACTGAGACTGTGGTTGTAATAGGGTAATTTAATCAATGTGAGGGATACAGTCAAGAATCTTGCAGAACAACTTTGAAGTTCAGACCAAACCCCACAATGGAGCCACTATTCCACTGAATCAAATCGATCAGTTTCTACTGATATATTTGCTTGCAGGATATTGTCACAGGCTCTCAGTTTTTGGTCCTGAGAAACAACTCTAAACTAGTCAGCAGTTGATCGAAGAAGTTCAGCTTCCCCCAGTGAAATCAGCTTGATGGACATAGTTATTGTTGGGTGTTCCAAATACCTTTGGCAGACAGCAATTTTCTGTAATGTGTGGCCATTTGGTCTTGGATGATGTACTGACTTGACAGCTTGCAGGAAGAACTAGGAGAAAAGACTTAAAAAACAAATAGAACCTTTATTTCAGTCAGTGGATTTAGAAAATATCATGTACAAATGATCTCGATTCTTAAACTTTGGTTTTCTTTTTGATTTCAAGTTGGCTCTGACAATCTACCTCATCACACAACCACCAAAAGTGTCTCATGTCGCTCCACTTCACTGTGGGGCATGGGGAAGCCACCACCTCATGCCCCGCATTGTCAGGTTCCTCCAGCTGCTGATCCCATGGGGAAGCATGGTGCATGTGTGGAGTGCGCCGCTCCCTTCCCCATTAAAGTCAATGGCAACATGGGAAGCCTCCCATCTGATGGGAACTAGCCAGCTCCATGGGTGACCAGGGCTAGAGTGGCATATGCCGTTGATTTTAGCCTACATGATGAGGTTGTTATGGTGATCCTAGCCTAGAGTTTTCTTAACAAGATTCCTTCAGGGATTTCCCATTGCTTTCTCCTTAGGCTGAGATAATGCGATTTGCCCAAGGTCACCCAGAAGGTTTCTGTAGCTGTACGGGGATTTCTCTGAATCCTAGTTCAACACTTAGACCATTATATTCTGTTACGCTTGAAAATACCTTTTTCTAGAAACAATGAAACAAAATACTAGAAATATTTCAGTAACATCATACTTTTTCATTTTTTTACTCCATCACTATTGTTTTCAATAAATACTTTTCTCTATGCAGTCTTATTAAAGTACCATTTTAAATATATTTTCTGCTATCCTATTTCACATATTGTTGGGACAACATTATGTGTAATGTCTAATCTTAAATGTAATCATCACTTTAAAAAATTGAAAGTTAGGGACTGTATTTGTGTCATCTTTTTGTTACAATAAAAGTATGAAGTAAGGGTTTCCAAATTTTAGGGCTGTTGGTCTGCATAAATAGGAACAGAGCACTGTTCTAGAATTCTGAGTGCATTTTCACAGTTTGTTTTCAGAAGTTACCATGATATTAAATATTCATCACATTTAGTGCCATCATGCAGAAAAAAAAACTTATGTCAATACCAGAAATGAAACAAAACCCCATAACTGAGTTTAGTTTTTATCCATCCAGTTTTGGTCCACTTGCAAAGAAACCTCAAAACAAAACAAAAGAAAAAGTCAAGCTATTTCTTTAAAAAAAAATCTCGATAAAGTTTTGAAGAGTAGTTTGTGTATAGTTGGTAATGGTTTCACCTCAGAGGAGCAGGACCTTTGGTTAACCTTCCCATACCCGATCACTCCAGAATGTGTTGGGCCACAACTTCCATCATCCACTGTGAAAAGGCAACAACCATGAAATCGGGAGACGAGGAACACTGCAACCCAACACACCATTTTTTTAGAGATTCCCAAAACTTCATACTCAGAATGAAAGTATCTGCAAGGTCTTTAGCCTTTTCCACCAAACAGTGCTGGTGTCTCACTAAACTACAACTCTCAGGATTCCATAGCATTGAGCCATGGTGTCAAACTGCATTAATTCTACAGTGTAGATTTACCAATGATGAAACACTACTAGAGTCTTTAAAAAATTTTGTTCTACAAAATGTTTAAGAAATTATGGATGGATATCTGAAATTACAGCAACAAATATCACAGTATGCAATTAACTAGGCTTTGGAGATTTGAATACCTTTGGAGATTTGAATACCTTGAATACCTCTCATCTGTCTTGGGCTGTCATTTACTATCTATAGATATCACAAACCACAGTCAGAAAATGTCATTTTTCCATTTGAGTCTTTTCCAGATTGACAGTTCTAACACCTCCCTCCCAGAAAGGCATGGCTAGACCTGTTTACCTTCTACAACCTTCACACTTTCATTTCTAGGCCTTTTGGCTACATTAACTGTAGTGATTTTCACAATTTTGAAACATAACTTTGTTTTCACCTGTTTCTAAAAATCAGGTTGCAACACCGTGTGTATGTATGTGTTAAACAAGTCTGCTTGGAAAACTGTTTGCAATTTCCCCTAATGTATGCCTTTTGGAAGCCATTTCTATTAATATAGTGCTTTTTTCTTTTAATTTTTTTATTAATGCAACACTTCAGTATATTCATCCTCAACTGTATTTTTAATAGGAGTATGATATTGCAAAATTGAAAGAAGCCAAGACATTTTAAAAGAAATTGTTGCAGGGATGTCTATTCAAAATGTTCATGAGATGAAACTTGCCTGCTAATACAATTCTGATGTTCAAAATTTATTTTTAAAAGGAGGAAGTCAAAGCAGAGCTTTAAATGCATTTACATGTATCAACATATAATATAAATTGTTATCCTACCCACTATTACAATCTGCCTGTGTCAAAAAGAAGAAAAATCCATAAATTTGATCAAAGCTTAGAAAAAATGGTTTTAAAACACAACTGATTTGGGATTGCTGGCCTCCCTACATAGTAAAATAGGAGCAGCCCATTGCTGAATATGAATGTGGCAGAATTTTCAGTTCTTTTTCTGCAGATATAAATCCACTAATGAAGATTTAAGTTCTTAAGTGAATTCTGGCCCATGAAATATACTCACTGCCTGACTGCTTCCCCAGAATCACACCATTCTTCCTTATAAACATTCAAGATCTCCCAGACTCTATTAGGCTCTGCTTCTTCTTGGAGGGGTAAACCCAGAAGGTGATGCGGGGGGATTCCTATTCAACTCCCTGGTCATTTGCCTGTAGGGTTCTTTGGGTTTCTGTGGCCCCTTCCAAGCTATGAAACCATCCATAATTTTGGGGTGTAGTACATCAATATGTGCATGATATCGAACTCTACCATCATATCCACCTCAATCCAAGAAGGCTGCCTTTGTTTCAAACTAGTACTTGCCATCAGTAATGGACTTAATTGTGACAAGATTGAGCTGTTCCTGGTCAGTTTGTTTCTAGGCACAATTCAAAGTGCTCGTTTTGACCTAGAAAGCATTATATGGCTTATTTCCAGGCCATCTGGCAGACTATATCTTTCTGTATGAGCTGGTTTGTGCCCTGAGATCAACAGGGTAGGCCTTAATCTCAGTTCCACCACATCACAAGCAATGTTGGTGGGAACACAGGAAAGGTTCCTTCTGGATAGCTGTCCCAGATGCTGGACCTCTATTCCCTTCTGTTAGCTTGTTCCTTATAGAGATAATAATTGTCTCTAGGATGTCCTCTATTTGAGGGTTGGAAAATATTTTCCTTTTATAGAGACAGAACAAAATGCCAAAACAATCCTTTATTTTGGGGTGTTAACCCTCCATAAAGATAGAAAGCTGTGTACCATGAATGTGGAAAATATGCTAATTTTACAGAGAAATCCCTTGTTAAATTAACTGAAATCAATACTTTCATTTGGTATTTAGGTAGAGCACAAGCCTGGTAATAACATTTTCCTGATTGTGAACCTCACATATCTTAAATTTCAACTATTCCTTATTAATCCTTATCGACTAATACATTCAAAACACCCCCTATGACCTTTTAAAAAGTATCGTTGCTGATGGAATCCATACAGATTTTCCTACCACACACAAAAAATAGCACAACAGCAACAGAAGAATTCATAGTATTTCAAAAAACATGATTAAAATTCCGTCTGCAAATAATCCATTTCTGTTACACTGTAGACAGATTCTTACATCATGTGATAGGAGCCCCTCGTGGTGCAATGTGTTAAACCCTTGTGCCAGCAGGATTGAAGACCAGGTCAGAGGTTCGAATCTGGAGAGAGCATGGATGAGCTCTCTCTATCAGCTCCAGCTCCCGATACAGGGACTTGAGAGAAGCCTCCCGCAAGGATGGTAAAACATCAAAACATCTGGGTGTCCCCTGGGCAACATCTTTGCAGATGGCCAATTCTCTCACACCAGAAGCGACTTGCAGTTTCTCAAGTCGCTCCTGACATGAAAAAAATAATAATGTGATGAGACCTGTTCACAATCATTCTCAAACAGTCTCAGAAATGGAGTATTCCCTAATGTAATAAAGTCCAAACTGTTAACTTATTCAACAGTCACAAGTTTTGTGATGAAAAAAATATATCAAAGACTTAGTTAACAAATAGACACTACACCTAGGCAATTCTTAATGCTCAAGTGATGTTCTCCCCACTTGTTATCAAAATGTTATCAAGAGTTACAGTCAAACTTCCATTGCAAGTTTTATTCTTGTGGATTTGATTAAAATGTTTTCTCTAGGAATCTCTAAGTTCTCTGGTGCAATTGTACTGGAGGACCTAGAGTTTCCTAAAGATGTGTTCTCTCAGCATTTTTTATTTATGGTTTTCCCTTTCACATGGATCCTGTGTCCCTAATCTCATTGAATGTGGAGAGCTAACGGTAGAAGTCTTGTTTTCTTTTCTCTTGTCTATAAAGAAATCATTCCTTTTCTGTGCTCTCATTTCCATCTTGCCTTTGAACAGAGCAGCTGCCCAATCTTAGGGATTCTTTTGCTTCCAAGCATGACATAGAGGTGTTGAAACTGGATAGTTTTGATAAGATAATGTTAATTAAAAAAAAGTGAAAGTCTGGACTTGCTGTCTTTACTTCATACATACTGCTTGGACAGCTTCAAACTGCATTTGTAATGCAAGTCAGAAAATGGATTGACTGTTTAATCCTCCATGTCCTCAAGAGGCACTTTTAATTATTGCATCAAGTCTGTAGTCTATTTTTTGAAAATAGTAAGGCAAAAATAAATGCTACCTTAATGATCGTTCATATTTAGTAAACAATGTGGCTCAAACTGACCTGTACCACAACTTGAAGCCAATGGATCAAAACATCAGTTAAAGGCATTTTCCTTAATGTGGCCTTATTAGCTTTAGTTTTTCAGCTCACTGCAGTAGCACCCCGCTGAAATAAATTTAAGAATTAACAAAAAGCCAGGAAATTAGAAAATAAAAGGCATTTCTGGATTGTTGGAGCCATGCTAACAGATGAGGCACATTGGTTTATGTTTCATCTGTTACAGTTTTTTTTTTTGCATTATCCTTTTTGAGATAATGCAAAAGAAACTTACTACAAATAT